GCCGCTGTGAGGTCTTTTCCGGATAATGCGCCGCTGTGAGGTCTTTTCCGGATAATGCGCCGCTGTGAGGTCTTTTCCGGATAATGCGCCGCTGTGAGGTCTTTTCCGGATAATGCGCCGCTGTGAGGTCTTTTCCGGATAATGCGCCGCTGTGAGGTCATTCCTGGATAATGTGCTGCTGTGAATGTAATGTACATTATAACTCAGCACAGGGTTACATATTTAACAGCCAAATACTGCTTGAAAACAAGAGTGCATTCCCTGAATGGGTGCTGTATTGCCTGGCAACAAGTCCTACCCAGTGTCTCCCTTCCTTTGTTGTTGTTGTTATTATTATTTGTTTTTTTTTGGGGGGGGGGGGATCCTCTCTTGTGGCTGTTTTGATTTCCTCTCCTGTCAGAGCCCTACTGTGCACATCAGCGGCTTTGATGTTGGCTGCTCCAGATAAGGTGGATGAAGGTCTCATCTAGCTCCCAGGGAGTGTTTTGTTCCTGGCTTTGTCAGACCTGGATTAGCAAACTAATGTCATATCAGCCCAGCAGCACCTAATGCCAATTAACCACATGTCTATACCTTAGCACTAAAAGGTTTAGATCCGTTCATCACAGGGACGTCCAGGGGTGGGGAAAGACCATCAGACAGGGGAAATCAGGGTAAATCCCTCGGTCTGTACTATGCTTCAGAGGAATCCTGAACACTTTTAAAAAAAAAAAAAAACAAAAAAAAAAAACCAAAACAAATAAAATAACATATTGAGTGGGGAAGAATACCCCTGTGTGTGCTCTGTATGCGGTCAACTTTATGTACTAGGTCAGTGTTTCTCAACCCAGTTCTCAGGGACCCCCAGACAGTCCACATTTTTGCTCCCCCCCAGCTTCCAACACACCTAAACTTGGCAATCAAGAACTCCAAACACTTGGTACATGTGTGTTAGTAGCTGGGAGGGAGCAAAAATGTGAAATACTGTACCAGGACATGCTCTGTTTTTGCTAAGAAAAAGGATCAAACTGCTGATGTCACTGTTTTGACCCCCCGCCCCCCAAGACATAATGTACTAGAGCAGTGTTTCCCAATCCGGTCCTCAGAGACTCACAGCCGCTCCAGGGAGCTCAGAGGGAGCAAAAACATAGACTGTCTTTGAGTCCCTGAGGATCGGATTGGGAAACTCTGTACTAGAGTATGGACTGTTTCAGTCTGTATCATGATCAAAATAATAAATAAAGCAACACTCTTGTGATCATGAGAACATTGAGAGGAGAAGTGTAGCGTGGTCTGATACTTTTCTTTCTCACCCCCAGCTGAATTCGAGCTGGGAAAGCTTCAGGAGAAGCTGAAGGAGACAGAGGAAGCCCTGGAACAGATAGTGTCGAAAGCAGGCCGCAATTCCAAGAGGTAAATGCCCCATGTAGACATTTACACAGGGCTGAGCCAATAACTCAAGGAGGGCACACTGCACAGCTACAGGCCAAAGCCAGGAATCCCACTCTGCTCACAGATGAGCTCTCTGATCTTTTCAGGCCAATCTCTGCAGTTATTCTCTCTCTCTTTTTTTTGGTTCTTTGAACATTTGTGATTCAGTTCCATTACATTGGAAGGGCACTCTTCATGTGAAACAAAACAATTGCTTTAAAAAGTTGCTTTTTGTCCATGATGTTTACACAGGGGCTGAGAAAGGTACCAGAGATCTCTGCAGGTGAATATAGAATGTTCTCTTTTATTTCAGAAGAAACACCACTAACCTCAGCATGAGAAGCATCCCGCATAATTCTTGCTAACAGAACTTGCTTGATTCGTTTTACTTTTTATGCCTTTGCTGCTTAGTCAGCTGTAGCAGTCACTGTAGGTCACTCTGTAGGTGTCTGAATGTAATGTAAGTCTGCATTTCCAGAGGTGTGTCTCAGTCCACAGAGGGAAGGCTGGTTTGACTGATTGCTGAAACTTCACAGTCCATTTTATAATTGCATATTTAAATAATGGAGAAGAATAATCATTTTTCCAAAACCTGATGATCATGCATGTCTTTTTTCTCCACACTGTTTTTTTATATATATTGTGTAGAGTAGATATATATATATATAGTGTAAATGCAAGTACAGGTGCTCCTTCACTTACAATGGGGTTACGTTCTGATGAACCCATCGTAAGTGGAAAATAGTCGAATATGAATGTGATACGATAAGTAAATACCTACTGTCACTGAATAAGTAAATAATTTCTGCATCTGATTAAATATCAGTAACTGAAAAGTAAATACAGTCAAAGTAAAAAGTTTGTGAACCTGTTGGAATTTACTATACTTATGTGTAATTCCCATATAAAACATGGTCGTATCTCCATGTAAGTCACAATAATGAACAAACACAGTCTCTTATAACTAAACTTACACATATTTTCAGAGAATTTTTGATCATATTGAATAATTAATTCAAACTGTGAAACTGAAGGTTGGAAAAAGTAAGTGAACCCTAAGCTAACGACTTTTTAAAAAGCTCATTGCAGTCAGAATTTAGCAAACATGGAGTCCATTTAATGAAAAGAGGTCAGAGGTGTGGCCTAGAATTACTTTGATGAAAAACACTGAAAAGTTTGATTTTGATGGAACAGGACAATGACCCCAAACATCGCAGCAAATTGACAGGAAAATGGAATAATAAAATCTGCCTTTTGGAGTGGCCCAGTCAGAGCCCAGATCTCAGTCCTATTGAGATGCTGTGGAATGAATTGAAGAGAGCCATACACAGAAGACAACCAAAGAATATGGAAGAGTTAAGGCAGTTCTACAAGACAGAATGGGCAAAAATTCCCCCACACGATGTGCACGTCTGACCTGCAGTTACAGGAAGCGCCTGGTTGAGGTCATTGCTGCCAAAGGAGGGTCAACCAGTTATTAAATCCAAAGGTTCACTTACTTTTTCCACCACCACTGTGAACATTGAATGTGTTTGTATAATAAAGACATGAAAGAGTAGATTTTTTTTTGTATAATATTGCCTTAAGCTCATTGTGTATATCAGTACCTGTGACTTAGATATCAGATCACTTTTTATGACTAATTCATTCAGAAAACCAGATAAGTCCAAAGGGTTCACATACTTTTTACTTTGACTGTAAATTAGTATTTTTACTTTAAATACAGAAAAAAACAGAGTACAATACATTGTAAAACACTGTATTAGATGTTTACACTTGCGATGGATACAGAGACTGCGTGGATGCTGACATCGGCCAGCATGAGTAGAAAGTGACGCTCAGCTCCATCCGGCTACCGTTCACCACTCTGTGTTCTGCCCATCCCCCCTGAACCCCTTCCCTCCGGCACGCAGGGTCAAAAACATCCCCCTGCCGCAGGAAGAGAGGCTGCTGCAGCAGCTGAAGGAAGTCACCCGCATGATGCAGGAGAGCCGCCTGGTGGGGGCGCTGTCCCCCGAGATGGAGGCAGAGCAGACACATTATGCAGATGGCTGGGAAGGTGTGTCCACGTGGCCCCCTAGGGGCACAAGTGTGGCTTCCTGATGATGTACCTCTTCTGTCCTTAGCCTTATCCTCCTATTTATAGGGACGTTATGGCAAAAGCCAAATCGCCTTTTAATAGTATAAGGCTCTGTCATCATAACTTGATTTTTTACTAAGAATAACATTATAACTGGTAAAAATAAAAATTTTACTACGTAGAATATAAATTCCAGATATCTATAATTCAGTTTTGACTAGTATGAATCGTAATTTTTACTAATAAGAACTGCATTGTTACTAGTAAAAATGTATATCATATCTTTACTAGTAATATATTACCATAGACTTCCATTGAACTTTTGCCTCATATCCAGAATTCCATTTGTACTAATAAGAAGTCATATTGTAGATATCTATGATTCAATTATCACTAGTAAATACTCATAGTGCGCACATCCAAATCTTAATTTTAACTAGTCAAAAATCTAGGTCCACATATCCATAATTAAGTTTTTACTAGTAAAAAATGGAATTACACATATTGACAATTATATTTTAGAGATCTGAAATAGCGCACATCTTGAATGTGAATTTCTACTAGTAACAACTAAATTGCAGATATCTGCAATGACATTTCTACTAGTGAAAACTGAATTATAGATATGTGGACCTTGAATTTTTACTTCAAAATCAAGGAATTATGACTAAACCTTATGTCATTAAATGACAATTTGGCTGGCCATAGTAAGGTTTATAGAATAGAATTAGCTTAAGAAGTATGGAAGTAAATTAATAACAAAAGTCATTGATGAAAAAAAAGAAGCTGTAAGAAGTAATTGACCAGATTTATTCAGTATTCTTTCCTTAATATCAGTGGTTCTGAAATGTTTTGGACCAAGTACCACTCAGCCAAGAACAATGTGAGAAAAAAATCACAATAATACATCTCAAATGTATCATAATAGAGAATATGAAAGTATCTTATCCTGAAAAAATTAAGATTTTTTTTTTATCATGTAATTTGCATTTATTTAAAATTTCAATTCCCATATTTTTTTTTCCATAACAAATTCCTCGGTCGTCTCCCATACCACCTGGGGGCGCTCTGAGTATCTCTGGTGTCATGGGTACCACAGTTGGAGAACCACTCTATTACATAATATTCTAGTTATTAACTACCTGAGATGAGAATACATGGGAACATTAATATTAATGTTTTAATGAAAAGATGATTGTTAGACTTGCAGACCTGAACCACCTCATTCTGGACCAGGGGTTGGAGTTTCCTGTCTGTCACCTCGCAGGCTACCCCGAGGAAACCTACCCGCAGTATGAGGAGCCCTGCAGGAGCCAGCGCGATGGCACCATCATCATGGAGGAGCTGGGAAATTGGCTGCCCACAGCAGAAGAGCAGGCTGAACGAATGGAAGTGGAGGAGGATGAGCAGGAGTCGTCGTCTATGAATAGAGGAGAGGGGGTGAAGGATGACCAGAATAGAGTAGACAGTGAGGGGGAGCAAGAGGAGGACCTGGATGGAGTAGACGAAGGAGATGAAGACGAGGACTTGGATGGAGAAAATGATGAGAAGGAAGGAGGGGAAGATGAAGATTCTGATGGAGTCCACCAGGGGGAGATGGAGGGCAGGGAGAGAGAGGAGTATTCATGTCTATTAGCAGGAGCTCGGAGCCCCATGAGAGAAAGGGAGGTGGAAGAGGTGCCCATGAGGGCAGCACAGGGAAGGAAGGAAGGGAAGCGGATCAGCTTCAGCGACATCAAAATGGTGTTCTGCTACTCGGTGGAGAGCTCTGACTCAAACAACAACATCCAGGAGACAAAGGAAGATGAGGAGGATGAGGAGGACGATGAAGAGGATGATGAGAAGGACCCCATCATCATAGCAGAGAACCTGAGGTTTAACTGCGAGGCTTCTAATGAAGTAGAGGATGAAGAGGATGAGCAGGAGTTCCTCCACACGACTGATTCTGAGGCAGAAGGAAGTGCCTCAGATACCGAGAGAGCTGAGGCGTTAGGCTTTGGCACACTCCGGAAGCGCAGCAGGAGGGAGCCGGCATAGCACTTCTCCATCAGCCTCTGCAGTGTGGACCAGCCCTATTCAACCCTCTGACCACCTGAGTTCAGTTTCCCAACCTGGTCCTTGAGGTTCCCCAGACAGTCCACATTGCTGGGAGGGAGCAAAAACATGAACTGTCTGGGGTTGCCCAAGGACTGGGTTGGGAAACACTCCTTTAAGCCCTTTGTCCTGAACCTGCATCCGCCTCATTTTCAGGCAACCTGGCAGAGGAGGAATTATCAGTCTGGGAGCCAAGCTGGGAGCATTTCCCAGTATGAAAATGAAATTAATTAGAAAGTTGCATATATCATGTCACATCTGGCAGTAGTTTATTCTGACAGTATAGCTTAACTTAACTTGCCAGTCGTTAAATAAAAAATACAGGGATCCAGAGGGGGAGGTCACTAGCCTGTTGACTAAAGAAGTGGAAGGCTGATCCCCCCACCCTGGGAGCGAATTTTCATTTTACAGAGTGATTTTGGAGAATGCTTATATTCATGAGAGAAGTTACCTGATTGGCTGGTGAACTGTCTAAGGCATTCACTGGCCAATAAAGTAGCGCTTCTGTCATGAATATTAATGAGTTTTTCAGTCCACCCTATAAAACGAAAATTTGCCCAAGACACCTCTTACCACGGAGGGCAGCCTCATCCAACCCACTTGTGTGTAGCAGTCGGTCTGCTCCCTGGCCTTGTCATCGTGGGAAAGTTCTCGCCCTATCCCTGGAGATACCCCACAGCGAAGCACGACCTGAATTACTCCAACAGAACACCCAGCATTACAAATGGAAGTCACTTTGGGTGGGATGGACAAAAAATTGAGTTTTGCTCATGATTGAAATCTTAACCTTTTGTGAGTTTTATATCTTTACCCGCATGTCAAAATTAGTTATCACTTGACTTTTTTTTTCATACCTCGTGCTATGTCTTGTTGTTTTAACCTTAGGTTTTAAAATAGTTACGGACGCATTTTTTGTTTAAATATTAATTGTGTACTTAGTTCTGTGCCACTGTTAAATGTTATATTGGCAGTGATATGTAGTTTTTCTAGTTTTCACTGTCATAAAACCAACTACAGGAAGGTTGGTATTTCATTAGAATAAAATTTTATTTTGTATATTATAATAATCTGTGTAAACAAACACTGTATACAGAACAACATACATACTTAATATAATTACAGTATCACATCACAATAACCAAAATTGTTTTTTTTCCTTAGCTGTTGGTCACAGAAACTGATATGGAAAGCACAGTTAAAGGTTTCTTGGAGTTCATCTTAAACACGCAAAGTTATTTAAACACCTTATTTGAACGAGACGTTTTAGTGCAACAGTAGAATTAAACTTTAAAAAAAAAAATAGCTTGATGGCAAGAGTTTATCATTTGTTTCATGCTTTTAAAATTAGGCATTTTATTCATGTTCAGTAAACAGTGAGTGGGCCTGAAATTAAAAATGTTTTAAATAACGGCGTAAAAATACGTAAAGAATTAAGTAGAAAAAAGTACGCAGCGATTCAAAGCGACGTATTTGCTCTGTCACCAGACAGATTGAAAGACACAGTTAGTGTACAAAAGAGAGCACAGTGGAGGTGGTGTAGGTGAAGGATGATCACACGGATGCTGGTGTGATCTGTACTAGAGAAGTGCGGCAAGCTGAAAACCTAAATGTAGAAGAAAGTGTGCGCTAGAACTCACCAAAATTATACAGATCAGTAGACATCTCACAAGAGCGTACAAAACCTTAGAAAATATATGACTGACAACCTTTATATGAAAAGTCAAATAACGTATGTACATAGGATGGAGAAATCCAGGTCGTTATCTGCTAGGAGACGGAAGACCTCAGCCTATGGCAGAAAGATCGTTTGGTATATAAAAAAAAATCAATTGTTTTACCAAATACTTTGTTTTTGTTACACAGTGGTTAATAGCATAGCTCTGAGACCAGGGTCAGCCTGTCTCAACCACGTAAGAGAGAGACAGCTTGATATCAGCACTGGATCTCGAAATTGTTAGAAAAATACCGGAAATAAATTGAGAAAACGCGTAATGTACAAAAAAGCGGTAACGTGTGCCATTCATTTTTCCATTCAAGTTGCAGTCACTGGGCTGAGAAAACGAAGAAAAGAGCAGCAGCTACAGCAGAAATCCCTTTAGTGTCACAAGGTAAAGCATTACGATGGATTTTTGACCCCAAAGGCACGGTATTTACAGCTGTCTGTCTTGCTCCAGCGCGCCACTTCCACGTTGTGTTTTCAGGTTCAAGAAAGTGCATGGTCATCAAATCACCCCCCAGTCTCTATACTTGCGAATCCAGTCATGCCTAAATAGCGTTACATGCCTTCAACTGCAACTCGCAAGCAAATATAAAATAACCAAAATAGGTAAGAAAATTAATGTAGCGTGTTTCAAGTGAAATTTCAAATCTGGCCCATTACCGCATAGTATCTTTTAATAATACCATTACTACTGAAATTAGAATTAGACAATATAACTGAAATGGAAACATTAAGTAATATGAAGTGTTTTAATAACCAGACTGAATCTTCACAGTTTCAATACAAGTATTATAAAGCGTTATTCAACTAATGATGATCAAGTTGTCACTATGTGAGAAAGTTAAGGTGATCACAAGACCTTCTCCGAACTTAACGAATATCACGTGGTTAGTGCTAGCTAGCAACACTTTCCATTCACACAAAAGCTATTCATGGGTAAATCAACACTTGCGTGCACCACACCTACAAACAATGGTAGTAGTCATACTCATTCATGGTCATGATTTCACTTGACACATTGTGTACGTCGAGAAGCCTTCAGTTCAACGTTCCATCGCTCCTTGTGCTTATCACTGATACAGACTTGGGTATCCTGGCCTTTGTGCCTGATGTCAGTGCAGAAACTGAAGAAAGACGTGCAGTACAGGGAGATGCCTTGTACCTCGCACTTAACCAGACCGTCTCCACACATCCCACAGGAGCTCAGAGTTTGTACAAGCAGGCAGTCGGTTTAGCCGCATGGGGCCCATAGAGTGTGGGCCTGGTCACCACAGCCCTAGGTCGGTAGCCGGAAGTATGGGGCTGTGGAAGTCCACAGGAGATAGGCAGTGAGGTGGTTGGGGCCCTACTCGCAGGCCAGCTTGCTGTCAAAGCTGGAGAGGGCAATAGCGAAGGCCTGCAGGGCACACATTGGGTAATTGTAGTCCATGGTAAAGACATCTTCTGCCACTCGACCAAATTGCATCACGATGTAGTCCGCTGGGATGGGACGAGAGAGTTCGGTCAAGGCAGCTCGATTACGACGGGGACTAGCAATTATCAGCAATATGGACTATGTGTATATGACACAAAGAAACCACCTACAAGGAAGCTTATTGGAATTTTAAAAATGTTCTGAGGGCAGAAGGAAAAATGACTGGCTCTGAGAGATAACCTATCAGATTATAGAGGAGGTGGGACCAACCAATCAGATGTCTTGGTCCCGCCTCCGCTAGATTCTTGGACTCACCTCCTCTACAATCTGATTTTCCTCGCTTCCTCCAATTCTCGTTTTTCCTTCTGCCCTCAACATTATTGGGTAAGTAAAACTCCCAAGAGCTAAAAGCTATCAGCAGACTCATTCAACGGCCCGGGATATTCACAGCCACTGACACTCACGGTCGTTATCATGGATGATCTGGAAGTTTTTGACTGAGGCCTGAGTGACCCTGCCGTGGAAGTTGAGCACATAGGACTGCGTGTCATCGTTCCACACAGGCGTCTTGTTGTGCAGCTCAATGATGCTCTCTGTGCTCTTGCTCTGCCACCGGGCCAGCAGGGACTCATGGTCCTGGGGAGTGGGGACAGTGGTCCAAAACCAGGGATCCCTCCAGAGGACAGGCATGCAGCTCTAGAAAAGCTGCCCTGCCCACCTCAAAACAACACGATACTCACATTTCGGGGCCTTATGGACACCCTCTCGTTTTCCATGTTCATTCCAGGAATTATGATGCTCATTTTTCGAGGTCCTTTGAAACCTAAAACATTGGTTTCCTGAAAAGGAAACAGGATTATATAACAGCATAACATTATACGATTAGAAGGAGATCAAATAAGCTTAAATTTCACATGAGGTTTAGGATTCTATTAATACCTGCATGCACAGTCATGTCCAAAAAACATTGCGTTAACTGGATAACACCAGAATTAAGCTATACCATATACATTTTACCAACCAATTTAAATCTATCAAAATGACAAATCCCAAACTTAAATCGCAAAATTATTTCCTAAAACAAAGTCCCAAAGGGGCAGTCATAGACCTTAAGATAAAGATAAAAACATAATCGTATAACAATTATATTATTGAGAAATTAAACACCTTTCTCAATTTCAGAAACATTTTTCGAGCTACATGCAGTCAAAAAAAATATATACAGCTATCTTAAAGAGTGCTGTGCATTAAACATAACATCTGCCTTTGTTATATTTTATGTGAACACTAGGGGTCTCACCAATTCACAATTCAATTATTATATTTTCTAAGTGAGATCTGATACACTCTATTGAGCCAGGAGCACCTTCTATAAATGCCATATGTCAGGGTGACAGTGATTCCTGTATTTCCCCTTGTATTTGTGAGTGACGCAGCAGACAGGCGTTCTGCTAATCATGCTGCCAGACGTCTGAGAGCGGAAAAGGGCAACTCACATAGCAGATAGCTGCTAATTCCTGCCGCAGGTTGCTGGCCTCCAAGCTGGAAGTGCTCTTCGTGGGATTCAATCCATTGTCGTAGACCGTAAACTTTGTTCCCATTAAGTTTGACCTGCGGCATAAACAGGCACAGCATGGTGATTGCTTATGCCACCCGAAGGGGGGGTGGGGGGAGGGGATGGGGGCTCATCAGCAGTAAATAAACACGGGCCATCTATCATCCTTAATCAGCTTGCAAACCTCTCCCCCAACTCTGTGACCTGCAAAGTGGGCAGATTAATTGCCAAAGCAAAACAATGCACTTGTGGCACAGCCACAAAAAATTAGATAATCGGGAAAAAAAATGACCTCCATTTATTTGTAGACCATCCAATATCCTGCACTGGAGCTATTTATTAACCTCGAAGTAGGCTATTGCGTAGAAGGAAATCAAGCCATTCATGAAATCACAGTCCTCTTGGGTGTGTGATCTCATTAAATGACATTAATTTCTGATTGGAAATAATCTCCATGGTGACAAAAATGTGGGTGAATATTATATGCTGCTGGATACAGAAGATGAATACTCGTTATCATTTCATATTCCCTATCCAGTTCTGCCTATTCCATCTCATACCAGATGATAAGCTGTTGAAATTACTGAAAACACTGTTCCAGGTACAACAATAATAGTAACACCATCTACTACCCATTTTCTAACCAATTATCCTGGTCAGGGTCGCAGGGGGGCTGGAGGCTATAACCAAACAGCAGGGACTGTCAAAGCCCATGGATCACAACCCCCCTGCTGACCACTCTCACTAATGCTAAAATAAATGTACAAATGATGGGACGTTGTTTAATATTATATAATAATGAAATAATGGGTAATATTATATATAAGGAATATACAGACTATAAAATCTGTATATTCATGTATTATGTAAGATGATTGTATTTGCGATTAATCACCAAGGTGTGCAATTAATCGCGATTTTATATATATAATTGTTTGACAGCCCTCAGAAGTTCTCACACCGCATCGTGTGCTGTTCTGAGCTAGCACTGCATAGGGTATGAATACTTGTCTTGGACAGTGTACGCCGCACAGACATGTGATTGGCAGGCTAAAGTTGGTGCCGCCTCAGAAGCTGGTGCCCGAGGTAGCTGCCTATGTCGCTTATTAGATTGATGGGCCCTGCAGGCAGCAAAACACGAGGTTGGGGTACATCCTGGACAGAATGGCAGATAATAATAACAAACATTGAGAAATAAACATGAATTCCATAACAAACAAAGAAATTCCAGGATTGCAGACCCACCTCAGTTTCCCAATGAAGCTCTCCCCACCTCGAGAGAGATCGGTTGGGTCGATGGAGATGAGGTAATTTGACGTCTTACTCTTCTTCCTCTTCCTTCCAGCCAATAGGAACACCTGGGCACAGTGCACCACAGTAAACCAGGTAAATGCAGAAACATATAGCTCTTGGTCAGTTAACCTCTTCCTCTGTTGGGCCCTTAAAGATATTTCAGTCATTATGACTTACCATCTGAGGTATTATTAAATTGGGATGCAACATAAATTAAAGATAAAGGAGCTCACAAAGATCATAACATCCCTGTGATTTTCAGAATAGTCTATTATCCCCACCCACCCTCCCAGATTTCCAGCCTTCCAAAAGTCCATTAACCCCACCCAGATCTCTAACCTTCTTGCCGTCTTCTCTTTCCAGGTGGAGGTAGTAGGTGGGGTACATTCCCCGGTCCATACCCTTCTTGTCACGTGTGATCCTACACTTTACAGTCACCCCCTGAGGGGCGGGCCTCAGAGTGAACTCCTCCAGGTCGTCCACGTCGATGGCAGGCTCGCTGGCCGGGGGAGTGGGGGCGGAGGCCGCTTCCTGGGTGAGATGATGGAGGGGGATGATGAAAAGAATAATACTTCATCCCGAATCACTACACGCTTTACTGGAACACCAGAGAATCCCAGTTATGGTCTCAATGTTCCAGAGGCAAGCCCAGTAAATGAAACCCTAATATCTGACATTAATGTGATATTTCATCATCATGACAGTCTCCACTCCAGGATTTATACAAAGAGGCCCCATTGATACTATCTAAGTTATCAGTGGGTTAATAAATTTGTTTACATGGGTCATGCAGGGTGAATGTCTGTGAGATGCTGATGTCATCAGGCTTTACCCCGCTAATTTCTGCAGTGCTTGCCCCTACACTGCCCTCTTGGTGAGCAGGGCTGGGTGGTAATGGGTTCAATGCTCAGATCGGGACATACAGGAAGTGTACTACACACACCATCTTCTGACTCGGGCGATGCCCTCATGTGAACCCACATGAAGGTCGCCTATGGTAATGGATTCACAGGTGTCACGCCACTCGATCTCCTCTGCTTCCAGGCGCGGTGACTTCACAATGGGCGTTAACAGCCGCGCAACACGTTTGGCCTACATATGCGGGACTCCGGCACAGCAGCAAGAACGAAAGTGGATTTACCTACAGCTACTGGAATGCTGGTGCGTACCTTTCCTGACTTCTTGCTTGTGGTTGAGCCAGGCCTCGTGTTACTGTTGAGCTGACAAGAACTGGAACTATCTTCCTCCTCGTCATCCTCCTCTTCGTCAAAATTCATGCTACTTGAAATGCCTTTAGAAAAACATGTCATCGTTGAGAACAGCTGGAACAGTATGGGAATATCATCCAAATATAGATACTAAACACACTGAGAAGGCAGGGGCACAGTGTTGTTCTGGAGATGACACGGGTATTGCCTCCTGTCTGGTATATTTATTTTGCCCTGCTTCAGTGATGCTTCTGTTGGAAGAGACTTGCTATTTTTATTTATAGACTTTGACGATTTGCGAGAGTGATTCGCATTAAGCGGTTCGCTGAAACGTACAGAGGAAGGTCCTTCCAAGGGCTCCGGCAAGCAGACAAAGCCACAACCCAGACAGGCTGCCACACCCAGGTGGCACGCAGAAAGACAGCATCGCAGGTGGCCAGGCAGCTGTCGTTCCATCGCTCACGACTGTGCCAGGATAGGGGGCCAGAGGCATGTGCTGGGTACGCCCCGGTGGAAGCGAGGGGGGCAGACGGACTGGGTCGTCAACATGTGCCTACATGCTCAGGGTGTGTCCCTCTGGGCCAGCTTTAGACCCTGATTTTCCCCCAATGTGTACAGGTGACTAAATTGTGGCTGGTTTTGTTGCAGAAGCTTTGCCATGTTGAGAGCATTACCTCTCCATCTTAAAGGGCCATAACTACAATATCTGCGCCCCGGGAGAAAATGTTACCTTGAGCCCCTCCCACTCCTGATGTCATACATGATGTCATTGTGAGCACATGCATATGCAGGTACCTTTCTTCAGCATGCTGACCCGGAGGTCCTGCTTGCCCTGCTGCTGGCCGCCGCTCACACTGTCGCTCCCCACCTCTTCTGCCACCGTCAGAATCTGGACCTGACCGCTGGGGTCCTGGGCCTCATCCTGGAGACCCGCCGGGCCATCGATTCCTGCCGTATCACAATGCCTTCAGCTACTTGGTAGGACAATGGCTCGCATACACTGCTCCTACACAACGGCGGATGCATTTATATACGTACAGGACCTACCACATCCATGCGCAAAGCGTTTCACAAACACAGTGGTGTTTATATACATGCACAAGCGAACACAGACAGGTACACACACTGCACTCTATGCTGAACACTAAGTCATTACCCCTTTTCATAAACTCTGTGGTACTTAATTTTCCACCATACCTCCTGTTAAAAATGTCCTCCATTAACACAACAAGGCATGGCCACCCTACCAGACAAACACCCACAGAAGTAACCCAGCTCCCTCTAGGACCCAGACGCCTCCGCCAAAGGAGGCCGCTCCCCCACAGCCTCCCACATCAGGTTTTCTATTTCCCTTTTAAGCTCCAGTACGTATCGGGCACCCGTCTCATTTTCATTCAATTAGCCCGAATGCGAGGCAGAACATGACATCCCTGATGCTGCAGGCTGCCGCGAGCACTGACGATAAGCCAGTCTGCTCACACAGACGGAAAAAGCCAGGTTATCAAGCTTCAAAGACGAGGACTCCTTTCCGCTCTGTTAGTGAGACTGGCCTTGTGGCTGTTCCACTGAACAGCTTCTGACAATCCTGCCTCAACAAGTCACCCATTAACATAAAAATAACGCAAAAACAACTAATCAATACATGTACGCTCCACCTGCTTCCCTCCTGTATGGCGTTACCAGCCAAGAATATGCTTCCCAGTACAGCTAAACACAACCCAACGGTGAAGTAGCAACAAATCCCAGTCACATTCAGCCAAGGTGTGTGCGTGAGCACTGTGCCCCCTACACATAATACACAGGGACGCTGACCCATACACAGAACAGCAAAACTTAGTTGGCTTACAGGACACGCGGCGTTAAGAGGAGATCGAAGCAGGAGCAACACAGGAGCTGAGGGTAAGCTCCATGTGGGAGTGAGCTGCAAAGGGGGGATTTGATCCAGCAACCTTCTGGTTGCCCTGTGTACTACTTTCTGTCTCTTTACCCATAAGAAAACATGCCTGGTTTACAAAGAGTACAATTCTGACATCTATAATAAGTGGCGTGTTATATGTCATGGTCAATTATTGCAGAGGAGACCTCTTCCACAGCTTCCTGGGCCTCTCGTGCATATTCTCCCCTCTTGTCTCCTTCTGAGATCTGCACTCTGACTGCCAGGAGCAATGGAGGCACTGTGCCTCCTCCAGGAGCGAAAGGCAGGGGAGGCCCTGAGCTTCCCCACCAGAACGGGTCTTCTAGAGGCACGACAGCTTTATCTGAACAAATCCAGGTCGTAGATGAGAGGGACGGAGGAAAAAAAAAAAGAAGAAAAGACAGCAGAAGAAAAGAATGTAACTGACAAAACGGAAATCTGCTCCAAAAGGGGATTTTGGCTTATGGTTTGATATTTCAGAACATCTGCCTGCAAGAATAATCTGCCTGCCTGTCATTATAGGAGACCTTTGACTGGGTGCTATCTTTACATGCTCATCTGCCAATTAGTGTGGAAAACGAGAGTCTGAACAAGTGAGAATGGGACCCCCTTCAAACAAACTACCTACCCCTTGACAAATGCATGCACTAATGACTGTGATCCTGTGATGCAGGAAAACATCATCATGGTGCCTCTAATACATTATACTCCTCACAGGCTAGGTCACTCTCACTCACCTGGGGTTATACTCTATACTCCTCAGTCATACAGGTTATACGCTATACTTCTCACTGGCTAGGTCACCCTCATTCATACATGATTATACGCTATTCTCCTCATAGGCTTGGTCACACTCAGTCATACGAGTTATACGCTATACTCCTCACAGGCTAGGTCACCCTCTGTCATACGGGTTATACACTATACTCCTCATAGGCAAGCTCACCCTCAGTCATATGGGTTATACGCTATACTCCTCACAGGCTAAGTCACTCTCAATCATACATGATTATACACTTTTCTCCTCACAGGCTAGGTCACGCTCAGTCATACAGGATTATACGCTATACTCCTCACAGGCTAGGTCACGCTCAGTCATACAGGATTATACGCTATACTCCTCACAGGCTAGATCTCCCTCAGTCATACATGATTGTACACTATACTCCTCACAGGAATGGTCGCCCTCAATCATACGGGTTATACACTATACTCTTCACAAGCTAAGTCACCCTGAGTCATACCGGTTATACGCTATACTCCTCACAGGCTAGGTCATGCTGAGTCATACAAGATTATATGCTATACTCCTCGCAGGCTAGGTCACCCTCAGTCATACATGATTATACGCTATACTCCTCACAGGCTAGGTCACCCTCAATCATACGGGGTTATATGCTATACATATTATACAACCTAGTTATCTCAAGTTAACTTCCCATAAAATGCTGACTGGGACCAGCATAGGAGCTTTGTGGTCATGACCTGCCACACTGCCAGCCTAAGCTCTCCAGGCAGACAGAACATGATGGGTTGCGGGCGAGCAATGCATGCTGGGAAACCATCTGGCTGCCGGCAGCCGCATGCGGCGAACCTTTGTGCTTTCCCCGTTTCTCCTTTTTGCCACTGCTGGTTTGGGGGGTGGATGAGGCGCCCTTGGATTTTTTGCCTGAGCGGGGGGCCTGGGGGGGCTCCGCCACCTCCTTCTCCTCCTCCTGTTCGGCCTCTTGCACTAGGCGTGGGGTTAGGAGGAGGCCGAAGCAGGAGCAAGTAGCGGAGGGTGGAGACGGGAGGGGAGAGCAGGGGAGAGAGGAGAGAGAGAAGGGGGGTTAGCAGAGGTGGGGCTGCAGAGGGAGGGGGGACAGACACAGGCAGCCTTTCGCGGGAACAGGAAATCTCTCACTCTCAGCTGGCAACAAACAAATGTGCTTCACAGAAAATAGAATGGATTCTGAACGCACCACTACACCAAAGCCTTCCAAGTTGCACCATTAGGGGATTTAATTTTCCCGTACAAAGCAGTGCGTGAAATTAGCCCATTGACAAGGTATTTTTTACTCAGTCCATTCCACATAGTCACCTTCCTGAGACCCGAGAGCGACGGACATTAGCGAGCACCGTGCTGTGCTGTACTGATGGGTGGCTAACGGACGGCGATCGTCCGTGCTTCCCAAGCGCCGCCACCGACAAAATGGCTGCGGGGGAAATCAACTGCAACCCAGAGCCTTCTTCAGAGATAAGCCAGGCACCTTTTGACAGATGGCCTTTTCACCAGCACTTATTTAAAATGGCAAGCGGAGGGTAAATTAGATCGGCGACCTCTGCAGATGAGAAATATCGAACGGGACAGTGACGTGTAATCAAGGATATAACATAGAGCTGGAAACTGCATAGAATCACTATGTGTGTCACTTTCTAGAAGATGCCAAACTGGCAAGGCTTTGCTCAGTCTGTCTGGTTTATCCTGGAAAAACTATGATTTAAATCAAGCACTACTGTGTAATTATGGTTAATAAAATAATAATGATAATGATAATAAAAAATTTACAGAAATGCTTTACAAGATAAGCGGTAGATTTTCAGTTGACCTTCATATCGTTTTATATTAATATTTGTAGTATTTGTATCTGTAGCTCACTCTTAGAATAGACTGGAAAAAAGCATATTAACTTTCTGGGCACCATGAATTGAGTCTGCAGCTGTGTGCTAGTAACTGATGTCAGCCTATGGCCGCCCACAGGGCCCAGAGGACGGAACAGAAGGAGAGGAGTCGTCTCTGCAGATGCCTGCTCTGCATTCCTAAGTACTCCTTTTTTCTGTCGCTTTGCTTTTGACAGGCTTGTACGCAGACTGAAGACCGCGTCTGATACCTTGGAGGTGCCCTGGAACTGCTGTGCATACACTGATATCCGGTTCCTCCCCCCACAGGTCAAAATTACTCTGAACCAAGTCGAACTGGGCAGCTTCCCTTCAAACACAGCTGACTGATTTCTGTGCCAGACCATGCTGTGTTGTGGCTAAGATCCCAATATTTCCTGTAATGTTGATACTTCAGCAGTTTTACCTGAAGGCTTTTTTTATAGAGGTAAACCTATTTCCTTCCCCTCAAGGCAACTTTGTAGGGCTCTTAAACCAGTGGGGGGGCAGGCTGGGGGGGGAAGGGGGGAGGGATACCTTTAAATTAAGTGTTAGTGCCAGGCCAATCAGACCAGGATGGTAGTTTGAGGGGGAAAAGCCAAAGGTATCTATATTTCATACAAAATGTCCAGAATCCCTTCACTGCACACTGAAGAAACCACGTACAACCCTCCATATATAGACTGGTGAGATGTACAGACAAGAGCTGGTGAAATCTAGCTGTCCACTCAGGTTTGAATGGTTGTCATGGAGCAGCAGTTACCCTGTAGGGGATTAATGTCATCGCTGTGAGAGCGCCCTCTGTGGGTTGGAGGATAAAACGACCTCTAGCTCCCTACGAACACAAACAACATGAAAGCAGTCACCCTTGGGATACCTGCAGGGTTGTCGCCATGGCGGTAATCAGCCCCGCGCCCTTAATGGGGGGGGCAGCACAGCCTGGCTCATCAAAGCACAATCAGTGTGAATGAGCTCTTCGGGGAGGCCAATCAGCGGGATCGCTGACGAGTGCGGGGGAAATGATCATCCCTGAGCAGGGTTAAATACGGCACACGCAGGGATTTTTAGCTTTTCTTTAACCCTGAAATGTCCTCCCCTCGATCAATGCTGCAGGCTGGGTAACTTCCTAAGACAATCTCTGCGATGCTACAGCACCGTAATCCATTCTGCTTCGATTTCCACTCCGTTTGAACAGGCCTTACCATGGTAAATGGCGCCACTGTTGCCACTGAGATAGGACTCCACGAGCGGCGCCTGCTCCTCCGACTGCCTGGTCCTGCGGACACGCGAGCGTCCATCTACATTAGCCTGCACCATCAGGGGTTCCTGCCGCTTCTTCTTCTGCTTCTGCTCCAGCAGGGCGCGCTGCAGGCAGGAACGCCAACATACACACTGTACTGTAAGTTACATGGCTGGTAAGGGAGGCATGCAGCTAAAAGCAGTTGCAAGAAAATTAATGATTTATTTACATATGCGCAGGTTGACCCTAGTCATAGCTAAGGCAACTACTCAAGGGTTAAATCACCTATTAAGAACATAAGTGCATAATCAAAATATATATTATCAAAGGGGTACACAAAAGAAACAGGACCGCTTTCGCATCATGGAAACAGAGGTCATGCTTCAGTATTTCAAACCCATCAACTCTCATTGAAGACTAAACAAGACTGACTCCCCGACATTACATAGGGGAACATAGGATGGCCAGCACCATCCAACATTTAAGGGGGAAAACACAAAGACACACAAAATGGCCATTTTAAGTAAATTCACACAATACCCTAACATACATAAACTGACAATTAGCAACATATTTAATATGAAAAATAAATCAAGTTCACACCTTTCTTTAAAAAATAAGCAACCCCCCCCATTTAGGCCCTCCTGTGAAAATTCTGGAACTCTATAATGTAAAATGGCAAATGGAGGCAATGACTAAGGAGAGGTTCTGCAGAAAATGCCATTTTGTTATTCAAAATGTGATTTTATTCCACTATCAAAATGAACCAGAAATCCAAGAGTCTTTAAGCTACATTTTAGTTCCAATTCCAGACTGTCCCAAAAGTGGATGTGACACACTGCTGATGTCATTCATCGTGCAGCACTGTCCTCCAATCAGAGGTTGCCAACTCACGGTTGGCAGCCTCACGGCAAGGCAGACAGACTCATTCCAGACATCTGTGTCATGGGAGACTCTGATCCTGGCTAGTAGGTAAGCAGGTGGTCTCACTTGTGACCCATGACCCCATTATGCCATTCCTGCTCCCCCATGAGGTGGGAGATAAATTCCAGCTGTCTCGGGCAGGAGGAGAGGCTCGGTCTTCCCGGAAGCCGCACCCAGACCTGCGGGGAACATCCGTTAGCGCCACGCTAAATGTCTCGCTAGCGCGCTGCTAAATGTCTCGCTAGCACGCTGGCACTGTGAAACCAGAGGAAGCACCCGGCCACCTCGTGCTGCCACTGTTAAGCGCTATAAAGCACACAAGAATAAGAATAACTTCCTTCCGGGCACTGAGCTACTGGGATCCTAAAAGGCAGGAATCCCGGCAGCACTGCTTATGACATATTCATGAAGGGGCTGATCGGTAAATCGGGGACCCGGGTCAGCGCCGGGGAGCTTACGGCCCCAGGAGGTCAGAGTGTGCCCCACCGCTTGGCTCCAGCATGTTGCGGTTATGTGACAGCCCCCTGCGGTACACTTACAGCGGCCAACCCAGCCTAGCAAACCAAACCGTTTCACCATGACAGAAAGGCTTCCGATGGACACGAAATACCTGTAAAAATCGGATTAGCGTTTGCTGTAACACATCAGCTCTCCCATAAATTGTGCAAAACATCTGGAGATATTTCAGCTCTGGGATGAAAACTTGAATACCCACATTCTTTCCTACATGATGAGACAATGTGCGTTCAGGTATAGCGAAGTTGGGCTAAAGGAGACCAATGGTAAATGTTTTATATTTTCAGACGAATTATTTAGATTCATTTCGTTTGGGAATATATCACACGTATTACTGTGAATTTTTTTTAAGTACGGTAACAGGTATGACCCTGCCACGTGCTGTAAATGCGGAGTTGGACACTGATCACCTTCCGGGGAAATCGAGCAGGCTCGGCTCATCACGCACAAGTGTCCCAGCTTGCTCTGTGGAGCGTCTACCGCTGGTCCAGCTGCAGCTGAAGCCCCCAGGAAGCCTCGTGTAGCCCACAGGCCTAACGCTCCCCATAACCCTAACAGGTCTCACTCGCAGCCCAGGGCACCCTAATCAACAAAATGACAACATGAGATGTTACTCCTGGGCAGTACTTTACAGCAAAGCTCATGCCCCCCCCAGAAAAGCATCACTCAGATTGCAGAGGAGGTGGGTCCAAGCAACTGGACGAGGCAGGACCAAGACATCTGATTGGTTGGTCCTGGTTCTTGTTGCTAAAACCCACCTCCTCTACAATCTAATTGGTAATCTTTCTGAACCAATCACTCTTCCTTCTGCCAGAACATTTTTGTGTAAGTAAAACTCCCATGAGCAAAAGCATCCAAACTGAAGTGAAGCAACGTGACGCAAAGGACAGCTGAGATAATCCACGGCCGGACTCTGCTACTCGCTGCTGACAAGGAGGATACTGATCAGACTGCTGATTGCAGCTTTCCAATCAGGTAAATGGCTTTATGGCTTTTGTTATGTGTCACACGCAGTGCTGCGGAAGAGAACAAAAGAAGTGCGGCTATGCTGCTGTTGGGTGGTGGTGCGTCAAAGACACTGAAGCCTGTTCTGTGACTCCAGGGTGTGTGGCTCTGCGGGAGAGGATGCAGTGCCTGTGAGCAGAAGGTCATCACTGCTGGCACCTAGAGCAACCCGGAACCCGGAACCCGGAACCGCTCTGGGGACAGGCTGACCCCGCTTTCTCTATTGTACATCACTTCGGATAAAAGCGTCTGTAAATAAATGTGAGAGTAAACTCCAGCAGCATTTGACGGACGAGCATTAATTGAGGGCAGGCTATCTCAGCCAGCTCCCCACTTGATCCACTTCATCCTTGTTTCAGATCACTGCACTTCATCTTCCAGATTTTTAATTAAATGCGTGTGGCAAACATATTTTTAAATCTTCATGCAGACTCATTTTAGAGGTCAAACAATAAACTGGATTTTTTTTTCAACTGACCCTACTATCCATTTCACATGCTGTTTTAGTAGGTAATTTTTAGTCAATCGCCACTATAAATACCTTTGATTGTGAATTTCCGTCAATCACTACACCATGGTCTTTCGCTCACGCTGCACGGATTACTGCACGATTAACAATTAAATTAACAATTATTCACATCAGCAACTAAGAAAATTAAAACCTATGCGCTTGGCGGGAAATACAGCCTAGAGCACCTCTGTCCATTAACGTATCTCTGCCAGGAGAGCAGAGATGATGTAACGGAGAGTAAATGAGCAGTCACTTTTCATTTTTAAAAGTCAAAATAAACAGCGGCTCAATGGTGCGGTAATATAAAACTCAAGATGGCTGCTCAGTCATATGTAAGCTGCCAAATCTTGCATAGCTGTAGGCAGAGATGGGCGATATGGAAAAAATATCATATCACGATTATTTAAGACAGGATCACGATCCACGATTTAATCACAATTCTTTTTAATGTTGGTTCTTAAGACTATTTTTCAAGTTACTGAACAGTACAAAGAAATTAACCTATTTTTTTTAAATATAGCCTTATAAGGTAACAAAACCTAATAGAAAAATATTACCGATGTCAAATTCTTTTTAGGGACCAGCTCCTCTATGTCGTCCATGCCGCTACGCTGCCAAATAGTGAATGCGTTGCACGTTGCGCATTGATGTTGGGATGAAGGCACGAAAGAGAGAGAAGAAGAGATCCAAGGCACTACCTACTGTTTGCTGTTACCAGTTTATTGGTGTGTTGAAACAGATTTGGCTGACAGAAGAACTTTAGATGCGTGTATGAGCCGTACAACTGCAACTGATAGAAGGTGAACAGTAGGGTGATCCTAACGTTCTCTCCGTAACGGCAAATCCTGGGGGCATCGTTCTGAATGTAATATTGTCAAATTGCAGACTCCTTGCTGTAGGTAACTCATTAGTCTGGGCCAGAGAAAGCCCATCATGCAGTGTGGTTTCTTGGGGAGAGACTTACAGACTTCCTCTGTCTTGCTTTCTCTCTTCCAGGCTGGTAGCACTGAGCTCATGGGAGTTAGCTAGTGCTGGTCTAACCACTGTGTCTGGACCAATGAAGACCCACCCATTCTGCCAGGCCGCAGAGGATGACAGGAGCCGGTGGCGGCCCATGGGTTCTGCGCCGTTCACTCTTTCCACCCTGTCTGCCCACCTACCTGTCTGTCCAGCTTCTGCTGCCGCAAGGTGCTGCTCTCATCATCTAAGGTGCTGTGGAAGGAGAATACGCAGTGTTTCAGTTTGGTTCACATCCACCGTTACATGAGCAGAGCTGTCTTTGCCAGCTTTTACATGATTACCATCGGTTGCTCTATTTAAATGCTTCAATGTTTGTGTTCACTCTAATAAGTCATTTATACACAACATGCTGGCAGTTTTCCCAGATTTTACATTTTCAACGATCCGTGGTTTTTGGAAGACAAACCAGACGGTTGCCCCATCTGAGGGCAGCTCCTTGTTAAAAACACAATCACGCCAACGGTAACATGACACCAGAGCCCTGCCTTGCCTGACCCCTGGGATTCCCGAGATGGGGACAAAGACCAGCTTCACCCACGTGACGTTTCTTTGAGAGGCTGCTGAGGCTGTCTGGGTCCGGGGCGTGGCACAGGAAGTTCCGTCTCCACGCTTTCCAATTCCCGTGGCAGCGCCATGGTGCTTCACATATAACCTCAAATCTGTATGCTGTATCGGTCACTGAACAGAACAAGGAAATTAACTGCTCGAAAAGTCATTAGAACCTAGATGAGGTGCTCCTCGGGCGAATTTGAATGCTGTCTCCTTCTCAGACATCCCTGGTGAGCATTTTCCTTTTAAGGCTCCGCAGAGGAATTGCGATCTAATAATGAACCTTGTTCCTGGGGTTATTAAAAAAAGCTTTTTTCATAGCTATTAGAGCACAATGCAAATAGCCTCAAACATTACTTTTTTATCAATCTTCATGCATAGCCTCGAACATTTTTTTTTATCAGTTTAGTCTAAGTCCATCCAGCCATCCATCTTCTAACTGCTTAATCAGCTTAGGGTTATAAAGATGTCTTCAAGCCCAAGGCTCGAGGCCACTGAACTGAATGCTGGTCTACATCCTCAACCAGAATTCAACAACAATGCATACAGCTGGCGCGTGGTTAATCAGGAACCTAAACCCACTCTGGGTAGGATTAATGTGCCACTGGTTACCTTAACCCTGCAGTTCCAATGGCTAAAGCAGGCGGTGACTGACAGTCCTCAGTAATCCAACCCAGGATGGGGTCAGAAGCCACATTACTCAGGACTACTAATCGTCATCAATGGCCTCCTTGTCAATTACAGACAATTTCTGAAGTGTACAGTAAACCAAATTACAAATATATTTTTTGTTTACAATATTGAAGCTCCATCATCTATCAACCTCTTAGCTGGTAAATGGTTGTGGAGTCTCCGTTTGTTAGAAACACTAGTAAGCTCTTAAATAGTCACTGCATGACTTCTGTGCCTGTATTACCTCCTTAGAAGCACCACAGTACACGACTCCACACTGTCCTCTTTGAGTCACAAAGAAATAGTTTCATGTTTCTCTTGTCTTATTCACACACAGATATTACATTTAAGTTTCTGTAATAACAAAATATATAATTATTTCCCAATTCCCACACTAAAAATGGATAGATGGACTAGCGGGGGGAAAAAATAAACATGAATAAAAATATGAAACAGAATTTGTTTTTGTGTAAAATTCGTTTACTTTGATGTGGCCAGAGTCATGACTCAGGCAAATGGACAGGAATTAGGAGGCATCTGAAAGGTGTCAGACGCGGGACTTAATGGTATCCAGTGGCCCCACTGGGAAGATGCTGGGAGCAACATGCTCACAGCACAGTTAGAAAGGTTATTTATGTCCTTCCGACCTGATTGGCATGCAGGGGGGGGACAAGTTCGGCAATGACAGCAGCGGCCGGATTAGGCGGATCAGGGTTCACGGCGCTCCACGCCAGACGCCTTTCTAGCCAGTGCACCTCTGTCAGGCCGTCACACCCTTTCCATCAAAATGGAAATAGCACAACCTCACTGTAGGCAAACTGTGAGGCCAATTAAAGGCATGGGGAGGGACAGGCCGCACGGAGAACACAATCAGGCACATCACCATGTCAGAGCGTCAGACACCAAGAAAAATAAAATACACAGCCTAATCCATTTGAAACACGATCTCATGAAACCAAAAACAAGAATTAAAATCAAATGACATGCCGAGGTACTAATAAAAAGAAGACAGGTCATTCTGAATTCAGCCGTTCTGGAAACCTTACGGCATCACAACCACTCTTATGCAGGCATAGTATGTATTTAGCACAAAATGCAATGGTTATGGTCGCCAAGATGAGCTGAGCTTCCTTGACAAGCTGGCCGCCACTGACCCCCCCCCCCCCCCAATCCCGTCCTCACCTCTAAAGGTACCGATAAGAATAAAAACAGAAGCCCACTAATTTGACCCTCTGTGACCAGAGATATCAGCGCATTTACTGTACCAGCCCCACCCAATCCCAAACTTGTTTGATTTGAACCACTTTGTGATTCATTCTGCCTCGTGCTTAGACACACTCCTTCTAATGTGCTGTGACACATCCAGTGATTTGCCCCTAATTTGTGTTGCTTGGAATCATGGGGACAATTAAAGCTAAAAGCCTTTAAATTAGAAGGCAATAAGTGGATTCTAGTAGCGGGTTGGGCGTGATGTGGAGTTGCGGGGTAGGATTTGGATGATAGTAGCCTATCACATCTCACAGGGGCGGAGTCAGGAGCCTATCAATCACTAAGGCCCTGAGCGACCTCTTCACTGGCACCCCGAATGTTCTTACATAGACACATGCACAAACACTGTGACACACAAAGCAACTTCCTCTCAGTTCTGACTTTAATGAAACTAGTCCTAATCCTATACTCATGAAACTGAAAAAGATTACATAAATTCACAAAAAGAAAAAGAAAAGCTATTCTTGAAAAAGAAAATTAATGACATTTTCAGGGATTATTTTTTGGGGTATTAAACCAGAAAAGCATCAGAAATGCAAAAAAACCTCTACACTCAAGCAGAAACGGGATCAGCGCCCAGCTTATGGCACAGGGATAATATACAAAGCCGTTCTTCACCATACAGTATATGAAAGCAGGAACGCAAAGACAGGGCAGTGTGCTTTTTATATTACAGTGGCTTTATTTGCCTGTCTGTGTCCAGAGGTGGATTTTGAGATTCCCTTCCTGGCTTTAAAAGAGCTACACTTTTAAATAATGAAAACATGATGTTTCTGGCAGGAAGATGCACTCAGACCACAGAAACTTTGTGGGCCCTGCATGCCAGAATTCTGGCAGCTTCTGCCGTTACCAGAACATATCTGCTATTTTTACAGCCGCCAGAAGCAGGGAGACGCGGCCGGCCGGCACACCGCGACGACGGCTTGACGGAAACTTCGGCTTTTTTACGGGATCTGTTTTACGACGTGGCGTCTTCCGATAAATCTTCACAGTCCTTGGCAGCCATCGTGGTGAAGGACTTTGCAGAGAACAAGGCAGGCTATGGCAGTGATGTGTCAAAGCCGCCATTATCCTGGAGTAGCACACCTACATCAAAAGGCGAAAACGGACATGCCAAAGAGGACTGGAGCACAGCTCACTCCTCAGAAAGGCTTCCGGAAGCTAAGAGGTGCCCACCGGTGAAGCTCTGTGTGAGAATGCTAACTGAAGCAAGTGATGTTAATCTTACAAATAACTGAAAAGGAAAAGTGTGTCCTATTTTTAAATCTAAGACTTAGTACTGTAAACTCCTAAACAAGTTCTGCTTTAATAGAACGGTATCCTATATACTGTACTAAATACTTAAAAACCATAACGCTGTAGGTGCTATACTATATACTCAAAGACCAAACTGCTGTAGGTATACCACAACACTATGTACTCAAGGACCAAACTGCTGAATGTATAGTACCACACTATATACTCAAGGACCAAACTGTTGTAGTTATAGTACCACACTATATACTCAAGGACCAAACTGTTGTAGTTATAGTACCACACTATATACTCAAGGACCAAACTGTTGTAGGTATAGTTTCACACTATTTACAGTGATCCCTCGTCTATCGCGGAAGTTGTTCCAGACCCATCAGCAATAGGTAAAAATCCGCGATATAGAAAGACCATATAAATAAACATTTTTTTAGTAGTTTAAGCCTTAAAATACCCCTCCCACAAGCTTTAAACACATGTAAACCTATTAAAACACATATATGATATGTGGATGTTGGGCTAAGGATATGAGTAACATAATAATAATAATAATAATAATAATAATAATAATAATAATATGTAATGGATATGTATATATATACATGTCTATCTCTCTCTCTGTATATGTAATGGCGAGCGATGTCCGCGTAATGCTTTCCTTCCTGAAACATATGCAGGAGTTTTGCCTTCTCCTGAATGGTCAAGGTCTTCCTCTGGCTCTTAGGCTCACTACTGCACAGAAGGTTTAGAAGATGCAGGATGCTTGGGAGCCATCGTAGGGCTTAAAATAAAACGAAAAGTTCACAAAAAGTTTGCTCCCAACTATTGGATCACAAGCAAGGTACACGATACACAGAGAACTGTGACGCTTCGGGGAAAAATCTGCGATATGGCGGGGGTGCGATAGCTGAACCGCGATACGGCGGGGGATCACTGTACTCAAGGATGAAACTGCTGTAGGTATAGTATCATACTATAAACTCAAGGATCATTATAAAAATGGAATGTATGACATCGCAGAGTACAGTCTAATCTACACTCGTTCAAAAGTCTGGGGTCACTTAGAAATGTCCATGCTTCTGGAAAAAAAGTTTTTTGTCCATTAAAATAACATCAGATTGATCAGAAATACTATGTAGACATTGTTAATGTTGTAAATGACTATCATAACTGGAAATGGCTGTTTTTTAATGGAATATCTACATAGGTGTGCAGAGGCCCATTATCAACAACAATTAGTCCTGTGTTCCAGTGGAATGTTGAATGTTGTGTTTGCTAATGCAAGTTTATCATTTTAAAAGGTTAATGGATCATTAGAAAACCAATTTTGCAATTCTGTTAGCACAGATGAAAATTGTTGTGCTGATTAAAGAAGCAATAAAACTGACCTTCTTTGGACTAGTTGAGTATCTGGAGCATCAGCAATTGTGGGTTTGATTACAAGCTCAAAA